AGGGTTTCGGGTTTAGGGTTTACGATTACAGGAAGGGCGCTAGCGCAGGGTCGGAACGACGAGTATTATTGCGATTATGGTTGTAGTATAATATACCCCAAAAAACCCTAAACCAAAAACCCTAAACCCTACAAAAGTCTCTACTCTATTTAAAGGCGAAAGTTTTTGCAGGGTTCTTTACAGTGTTGCAGAAGGATTCCTTGAACGTTCTGTCTCGGGGGTATTCCACGGTGGTACGACAGAGGTTCTGGCAGGGTTTCAATCCGTTGGATTTGGGTCTTTTGGGTACCGAGAGAGTTACAGGATGTTCGGCCCTTATGGTTACACCTCTATATAAACCCTAAACCCCATTTTCGGCCCTTATGGTTAAAGCTCTATGTAAGCCCTAAACCCCAAGCTTTAAGACACTACCCAATATAGTATGTACTTTGGCCCTAAAGTAGTCCCTATTCAGGCCCAAGTATATGCTATTTGGATACATGGACCATAGGGATATGAAACCCGGAAAAACTCATGAATAACTATTTCTGTTCTTCCTTACGGATGGTACAAACTGCCATAATGTACCCCCAAAGCTTGTTCAAATTACCAGGACCTTTAAATTAAAGGCCTTTAAATTAAAGGCCTATACCCTGAACCCTAAAGCCTAAACCCTAAACCGGATTGAGGGTGCCTCTGTGCGCCCTGAGGTCTCGGGCTCTTCGCGGTCAACTGTTTAAGTTTCAGGGTTAGGGTTTAGGGTTTAGGGTTTAGGGTTTAGGGTTGGAGGGCTGTCTGTTGTTCTGAGTGACGTGTGTTTCCCCAAAGGTGTGTCGCTCGAGGCCCCCAGGCTGGCGGATACTGTAGAAGCCTAAATAATTACCAACATTATTCCTTGGGTTCCTTATTATGATTATACTATAAAGGATCCCAAAGCTCTGTTCTAATTATTGCGGCCCCTACATTAGATGCGGTTGGTTGAAGCTGGGGTTGTGCCGTTCAAGCGCTCCGTAGATGGTGTTCGAATCTCTCGGAATAAGCGTGAGGCGAGCTTCCACAACCATTTCTGGTGTTAGAGGCATCTATATGGGGGTTTCCGAAAATATGGTACCCTAAATAATAGGATCCTTACTATAAGGACCCCAAAATAAGGTACCCTAATTCTCGGAAACTCCCATATATCAGTTTGTAGGACCACTGGATTCTGACAGGGGTTATTTGTGTCTCAACCACCTAGGACCTAGGACTTTCATGGTTTGGCAGCTGAGTGTCTGGAGCAACTCCAGGACAAATAGATACACCACAATTACCTGTAAAAGTCTCACGGTTCCTTCTTATCATGCTGATATCACTGCTGTGCCATTATACGCCGCCTAAACTCTTAAACCGGTGTTGCGGCATTGTGCCAAAGCTGACCTGCCGCCCATGCGGGAGAGGTCCCCGATCTGGGGTAGAGTCCCCGCTGGGGCCTTCGCAGGCAGAGGCTCCCACAAGCCTTTGAGAACGGCTTCCCGTGGTCACATGGGGAGTGGGCCCTTCCTGCGGGAGGGGAGCTCCCTGTGCCTCGACAGAGTTGCGGTAGCCATGCCCTCCACCATCCACTAATCATCCAAACAGCATCCGCTGTCTGATGTGAAATTTGACGCCCGCATGCTCATGTTCTTCATCTTCATGCTTCTACTGTTGGCTTGGCTTGGCTTTGGCTTGCTGAGAGCAGTGTATGGGTGTTCTTGGGCGTGATATCGGGGCCTGAATAGTTCCCAATACTGTTTTGGGGGTTCCTTCGCATAATTATAAAACAATATACCCCCCAACCCCATTCTAACTGTTAAGGCCCCGACATTAAACTTAAGTATAGTTATTAAGGCTCCACAACCCTGTTCTACTTGTTAAGGCCCCTAAACCCTAAATCCAAAACCCTAAACCCTAAACCTACATTGGGGATCTTCCTTCAGTCAGCCGAGGCGTCTTCGCGAGAGCAGCTGCACAGGCTGCTGCAGACACACCGGTGCTGGACGACCCTTACTGGGTGGGGGACCCTGTAATACAGGGTTTAGGGCCCTATAAACATGGCGATTTTAATAAGGGTTTTGAAAAAGGCTTCTAT